AAGAAGCAAGTTGCAGATGAACATGAGAATGCACTTACAAAATATTCAAAAAATACATTCTTGTTGAATGTTGACGACGATTCATGTCCAGAGACAATATGATACTACCAGTATATCAAGCACAAAATCAGTATCCATCCTTTAATTATTAAAACTTTGTTACTTCTAGGAAACCATCTACAAACATTTTTTGCAATTATGTATATTGTGATTACACTAACTATACTAATTTGAATAATTGTAGTGCTCCCATGTTATCACAATCATTGTCTACAAAGGTGTCAATATAAATGTTTGATATCTTGGACTACCTTCAAGTCGAAATCAAAAAAATGTCAACACTAAGGATACTGGCTGCAACTTTTGATGATGGTTGCTACCATCTTTGCGTCATATAAAAATGATTGCAACCACCTTTGCAACCATTTTGTTTCCTTTTTTGGATTGCGACATGGAACACTAGTCAATACACTAAAAGAAAGTATGATGAAAAATATTAAATGAAAATGAATTTACTGAAAATAATGAAAATACAGTTGATGATGGATCCGGGTAATGTTGAATCAGCAACAATGGAAATTTTATTAGAACATGCAAAAAAATTTTTGGATTGTAAATTTTGTTTTTATTAAATAAATTTGTTTGATTTTTCATACATTGTTCATTTTTTGTCACAATCATATATCTTAAATTTGTTGTGTTTACAATCATTCATTGACATTCATTATATTAAGGTTATTTTGATTATATCGAGAGATATGGTCAAGAGAAAAGTTAGGAAGAGAGTTATTCTTCGACCAAGTCAAAAACCAACCCTTTAAATACATTTTCGAGTAGTACAATTTAATTTATTAGACTATTTCTTCCAACTTCTTAAATTCGTTAATGAAACAATTGTTGGTGAAGTGATTGTTGACAAAATGAATCAAACCCATATTTATTTCTACGTTATCAAATTCGCGATTTTAATTGGTCAATCAACAAATTGCATGGGTTAAAATTTTGTATTCCCTCCTGTTAATTTTTGTGTTCCCAGTACGTTCTCTCCTGTTTGCCGATCGTGCTTTATAAAAGAGCTCAATATAAATCCAAATTTGTAAGTGATCTGCAATATTATCACGTGAATAATTATCAATCAATAAATTGTATATAGTTATAGTTGCCGAAATTTCAAATAACATAGTAAAGTTACCTAACTTTAAACCATTATAACTTTTTTTTACTAAATAACTCAAGAAACTTTCTATTATATTATTTTTCATGTCTAGAAGATTGCAAAAATAGAGAGCTTTTGGTAAAATAGCTTGTATTTAGTAAAGTATCAGCATTTAAAGACTGGCAACATTTTGTGATGTCTTTTATACTTATATTAAATCTTAGGTATTTCTATACAACGCTTTTGGTTTTATAAACAAAGAAATCAATGCAAATCATGAAGTGTATCTAACATCTTTGTGAATTAAATCAATTAATAGTTTCAATGAGAATGACTTAGTTATGGTTGCTTGCCAAAACTCCTCTGGAAATCAATCGGCGGAGTTTCGGCAGGTAACACACTAATTGTTTGCTAGAGTTTCGGCAGAGTTTCGCATTTAGGGATTTCGACAATTAGCAGAGTTTCGGCAGGTTACACGCTAATTGTTTATTAGAGTTTTGGCAGTCATTAAGAGGTTTCGGCAAGCAACCTTAGGCTTAGTTGTGTATATTTAGTATATAATATGGTATTAGTACAGTACTATGCTGTTGAAGGGAATAGCAATTGCTTCTTGAAAAGAAAACTACCGACAATTGCTCTTATTTATTAGTAATAGTCACAATATTAAACTCTTTAAATAAAAAATAAAAAAAATCCTCAAAAAGTCGTATGTTTTTATTGACTTTTGACTTTTGGCATTGAAATGTTTAAATAATTTTGACTTTACATCAGCAAAACAATTTGGGCTGCATGTATAATACCATTATCGGCCAAATATAATGGAGACTTTAATTGTGGCATTACCAATTTTGGTGTTGATAGTAGCCTTGGTGCAAGTAAAGCAAGTATCATCTGCAAGTATTATTATGATTATTAAATTTTAATCCTTTGTATAATGTCAGGCTTTTTATCTAAAGACCAGTCATTTTGTTCTAAGAAAAATTTTGGGATATTTCCATTTGAAAATTCTATTTTTCCGATTATTTTTTACTTTCAAGCAATAAATAGAATGTCGCGTAACAAAAGAACTACTAATATGCTCTGACCAATTGAGATGAAATAACTTGATCATGAACATATGAAATTGTATTGGAAATTTTTTTTAAGTGATAAATATCCAAGATGTTATTCGGAGTAAATAAAATCATTTACAATATGACATTCATATATAACAATATTGGGAGTTTTAGAACCTAATGATGATTTTAAAAAACCTCCTATTGAATGAATTATTCAATAATATCCTGATGATTATTAATTTTAAGAAAAGACATTTTGGCTAATTTTTTTTTTTATATACATAATGCAATTTACCAATCCGTAACAAACATGTTGCGGCCCATGGGAGATAGTTTTACCGAGGGAATCCTTAGTATTTGTAGTAAATATACATTTAAGAGATTTAGGAAAGGGTATTGTTAATCCAAAATTTTAAATTTCTTCAAGCTAAAGTTATTTGCAAGAGCAAGTTGACTTTAAAACTCAGCCATATGGGAGGAAGGGTATTACTAGCAGAACGTCCAAGATAGTAGTAATACCTCAAATAGCAAGAACTTTATGGCGTCTGGTGCGTCACCTAGAGCTGCAGGCATGATTTTAAGTTAAAGAATCAACTCGATATATTAAAGATATGTTATTTTTACCCTGAATTTGTTATTGCGTGGTAGTTCGAACACATGATCAAAATGGTCTTCAAAAATGTTGTCTTTATTAACGGAAGATTTAACATATTATAATTTTACATCATTATATATTTATTGACCAACGTCGCATCTTATGATTTTCTATGAATAGTAGTGGCGGCAGCCTATATATTAATTTAATAAAGAAAAATAACAATTAAATAAAAAATTTAAACAAAATATTTGATCGATCGATTGATAATATTCTTACTTGGCTAACAGGATACACCACTACGTCAGCAATATTTACATGGTCAGGCCGAGATGCAGCAAAAACAATTATTTCAGCTAAAAAATTATAAAGATTATTATAAAGGTTTCAATAACAAAACAACAATAGTGATTGAGTGATTGACTGATTGATTGGTTGATTGATTTTTTAATTACCAATATCGGTTCCATTTAAAGGTGTCTATCAATTAATATATAAATTATTAGTGGTAATTTTGAAGATGTTAATTTAATGATCGTTGATAAAAGTCTTCCTCTCACCAATCCTTCATACACTTTATTGGCCTTCTCTTTATCTCCGGAGAATCTAACAATAGAGAACTCAGTTTCTACCATTCCTTTAAAATAATAAATAATAGCAATAATAATAAATAGTAAATTGATTATTCATTGGCCAATCAAAGTTAATCAAATAAATGATTGACGTATTATATATTTACCAGGATTTATTTCAGTGACTCTGATTGGTGTATCAACCTTTGAAGAAAGTAAGTTAGTTATTAATTTCCAAGATCGTCGTTGACAGAAAAGTAATATAATTAATACTAGCTAAAACTTACCACTTCAAGAAGTAAAGTTC